GGGGGGGGGGGGAGAGGCTTTGGGGGAAATAAAGGAGCTTTTGTATTTTAATGGTAAAGAAAGCAATAGAAAAATCAAAAAGTGTATAATAAAGTAAAACAAAGAATAAATAAGAAAGAAAACAAGTGAAGTGTCGTACACCTCACATTAATTGTCCAATAGTACACTAATAAAAGTTTTGTTGCACAGGTTTCGAACTTCCGCTACTAGGGAGATATTTTCGGGTCTTTACCATTGGCACCCAGTGGCTGTTTTGTTCGTTAGAGTGTCATTTTATTATATGTACAATATTTCTTCTATAAATATAGATATATACACAGAGTTCCGACCGAGGTCTGCGGGTGCCGGCGCACCCCCTCGGCTCTATGTAGATCCGCCCCTTATTTAGTTATAAGTAGAGATAGAGAAAGCATACAATTCGAATATGTATTTTCAAACAAAGCAATAAGACGAAGGAGCTATCAAGCATTTTGATAATTATTTCACAAGAGGTAGTTGAATTACTTATGGTTATGTTATTTGCAGGAGCGACAAAACTAACACAAACTCATTTGACCCGCCCAAATAATAATGAGTTTGGGCTAGAACTATTTTGAAGATGGGTTGTTTGGGGCTGGCCAAAGTTAACCCATTACAAATCATCGACGCAAATGGATCCATGATGATGCCCAACCTTGACCCATGGAAATGCATAATCTTAAAGTTCTACCTTGTCCCATGTAATAGCTTCAGGGTATATTTGGTATGAAGGAAAATATTTCTTGAAAAATATTTTTAATTTTTTCATGTTTGGTTGATTTAAATGTTTGGAAAATATTTTTCTTATGAACGTGTTTTTCTCCAATTGAAGAAAACTATNCACCCTCACCCACGCACCCCCATCCCCCACCCTTAATATATGAAAATATTATTTAGAGTACTTTTTTTCATGATGTAGAAAAGTATTTTATTTCATTTCAACAAAATAGTACTTTCTTTTCATGATATAGAAAAAGTATTTTTTTTAATTTCAACAAAATGAGTATTGAAGTAAAAAAAATATTTCTTTCATTTCAACAAAATGAGTACTTTCTTTTCAGAATGTAGAAAAAAAATATTTTCTATCATTTCAACAAAATGAGTATTTTCTTTTCATGACGTAGAAAATATATTTTCTTTCATTTCAACAAAATGGATAATTTCGTTTCATGATGTGAATGATTTATTTAACTAGCTGTTGTTGACAAAATAATCATCAAACATGAAAAAAATGAAAATAAAGAAGAAATTATACACAATATCACAATAAAGACAACAACAAATAAAATTTATATTAATAAATAAAGAACGTTTACTGAGCTATTTTTTAGGTATCACAATATAATTCACAACATATCATGATTTGAGTTAGAGGAGATTATTTGTGAATATATTTTTTTTTATTATTTTTAAAATATTGGGTTTTGATTTGTTTAAAAGTTGAGAATATTGTATAGATTTGGGTCAAGTTGGGTGGGTTGGGTTACCGCCCATTATTTAACCCATCTAAACCCAGTCCATCTTGACCCAAATAAACTTGGAATTTTTACACAAATAGCCTGTCAGATTCACTGTTTACTTTTTCTAGCCGGTATATATAGATTATATATTGATTATACATATTATACATATATTATACATGAATTACATATATATTATATATCCATCGGCTATTTTTAGTTTAAGAGATTAGGTGGGCGGCTATTTGGGTTAATTCTTCAATGAAATTTGGGCAAGGTTGGGCATTAGCCAATTTATTTACTCAGCCCATCTTGACACGCCCAACTTCAGCCCAAACACCCCGTTTGTCACCCCTAGTTATTTGTATTGTTGTTTGCGTGCTTAAGTGCCATAGTTATTTATTACAATCAAGAACTCTTTTATTTTTTATTTTCTTCATTAATATAATCGTCTTTTATCATAACGATACAAGTAGCATTATAAAACTTATTCATGCTGTCACGACCCAGAAATCCATTTAAGGCCGTGATGGCGCCGGACACCGCTGTCAGGCAAGCCAACACTATATAGTTAATAAAATCCTCTTTTAGTATTTTGAAATCAAAAATTTCTTCAATGAAATAATGAAGACATAACTCATAGAGTAAATGATAAATATTTTTAGCAACTACTTTTCTAAACAATTCATAACCATTCCCAAAACCCGGTGTCACAAGTGCATGAGTATTACTAGGGAATTAAAAATAAAATACAGCATCTGTCCAGAATACAAATTAGACAGAAAAATATAATAACTCTGAAGGAGACTCTGTTGGCTGCATATCGTAATATAGAATGCAACTCACCTATGTACCCACAATTATTAACCAACATGTACGCCCACAAGGCCGCTAGACATATATGTACCTCCATACTAAAATGTGCAGCAAGTGCAGCATGAGTACGAAAATAACGTGTACCCATTAAGTATCAAACCTAATCTCGAAGAGGTAGAGACGAGATGGCCGGCTTTGACACTCACTAAGGGTCAATAATAATAAATGAAATAAAGATAGCAATGTCTAGATCAACATGATTTATAAAATTTACAATGATTTTCTTTAACTAACAGAAATAATTAAATTCCTTCAATTCCAATAAATTTCTAATTTATCAATTAGCCTCATTTACAGGAATAACCATAATTGCCTTAACAAGTGGGAATAATAATTCTTTCAATTTTCAATAATTTCCAATTTATAAATCAAATTCATTCAAATGCAACAATTCTCAATCTATTAATTAAATTCACAAGCTGCAATAAACTATCAAAGTATCGTGTAATTATTATTATTAAGCACGATTTCTGCCGAGGTCGTTCGGTCCGATCCAGAGTGTCATGTCCACTGCCGAGGGACGTGCGGCACAATCCATAGATGCATCTATCTTGCCGAGGCGTTCGGCCCGCTCCACAAGAAAGGAGGACATTTTTCTTATATACCTCCGGAAAGAGAGTATATTTATTAAAAGATATATTCAGGAGGAAGAACAGTTTCTCTTAACAATTAATTAATTTAAACAGAAAATCAAGCATATGAGATTTTCATCCTTTAATATTTTTATCTAACAGTTCATAATATATAATTATGTATGTATATATATATATATCAAATAATATTAGTTAAACAAAGAATACAATTTACACAAGTAATTCATGTTTTGAGTCCTAAACTACCCGGACTTT